CAGAGGAAAAGCAGAGGAAAAGCAGAGGATTACACTTCAAGCCTGTAAGGGGAAGCGGGGGTGTCTTTTTTTAGATTCTTTCCACATAAGCTCAAACTACACAATTTCAGTTTCTTTGTTGTGATGGCTGATGGCACGTTCAACAGTAAGATTTAGCATTATAGGGTTAAACTATTTGGAAAATGGATGATGAGTTCCCAATAAGCCAAACATTTTTTTCCATTACAGTTATCATACTTCATTTAAGCCAGGTTGCACTATTTCATTTTACTCATTCATAGAGTACCACAGATAATAAAAAACAACTGTCTAAACTGGCAACATAGCAACTTTTTTTCCACCTATACGCTCCAGTTATTTTATTTGTATGAAGGAGGTATAAATTAAGAGCACCCTCAAATGTGTTACCAATCAAGTTAGAAATAAATGAAAGCACTGAGAAGATTAATCTACTCTTACTGTATTGTTTCAGAGTCATGTGAAAACTGACCTAAGAACCCCATTATTTTGAAGGATATGAATTCAATGAAAGCACTCTTTGGGACTCCTAGGTACAAGTCCAAAAGCCATGGGCAGAATTTTATAAGGTCTTTTTGACACCTATCAGCTTTCTTCAGGCTTTACAAATAGTGAGGTCCTACAGCAGGTATTTCAATAGGAAACAATCTGCTTTGTACCATTACCATACCTGTTCCCCTCACCTTAGCCAGTCTCCAAAACTATGAACTACAAGGAGAAAGAGCAGACTGACCATCTCAGTGACTCCAGAGCCATAGAGCATAGCTGCTGTTTCCGAAGACAGAGGGATTCAAGAATATAACTGAAAAATGTACTTTACCCAACAGTTGATTACCTCTAGCTTCACTGACTTTCCTTGCCGAGTGCAGTGGCCCAGATGATTTTGGTGTGCACTGGTTCAGTGAAGCAGACCTGGCCTTGGCTCCTAGAAGCAGATGTTTAGATCAGGTTTACAAGTAGAACCTATGTGAGCCACTAAAGACATGCTTAATTTTACATACTTACAGTTAAGTACAAGATGCACAAATCTACTCAAACACAGAAAGAAATGCCTTCTAGAAAGTTTAAGCTGTATTTAAACTTAATTTTGCTTTACCAGAACTCACATTGGAAGAAATAAAAAAATAATTTTAATAAAGCTTGTAAGCAGAAGAAAATGTTAGTAAAGATTTCACTTTAGCACTAAGATTGAATTACTTAAGTCTCAAAACAGGCGCAATACAACACAGCTACAAAAACATTGGCTGAAAGGCACCTCGACGCCAGCTATCCAGCCTCCCACTCGGAGCAGGGCCACCACCAAGATGAGATCAGTTGACCATGCTTTTCTCTAGCCGAGCCTTGCAAACCACCAGGAAGGGAGGCTCTATGGCCCCGCTGGGCAATGCTGCATCTCCCACTCCACAATTTGCAATCATTCCCCATTGCCACGTCATCTGGTACTACTGAGAAGAGTTTGGCACCATCACCTTTGTAGCTGTCCTTTTCAAGTTATTGCAGACTGTTACAATATCTCCCCTTATTCTCCTTCCTGCCTGACTACACAAGCTCAACTCCCTCAACTTCTCCTCACAGGTCATGAGGTCCGAGACCTAACCATTTTCCTAAGTCTCCAGCTGACCTTTCCAGTTCAACCCTCTTGAACTAGGAAGGCCCCAAAACACAACAGAGTAGTCCAAGTAACACTAAGCCGAGGGGGGAATACCAGCTTCTTCTGGCCACACTGCTCCTGCAGGTGCTGAAGGCACAATTCTAGTGCTGAGGTCACTGAAGATGTTGAGCAATGCATAGTTGTGTTGCATATGTTGGACCCTAACAGAAAGCATCAGCTTGTCAGACAGCCATATGATTTGTGTTTATTTCAAAGTGATAGTTTGTGACAAATTCGGTTTCTTTTCACTGTTTATGATTTTAAAGCATGTCATTATAGCGTGACATTTGGCAAGCATCCCTTCTATTTATTCTCAATTATGTCAGATACCAGCTTAAACTTAAGCCTAAAGCGGGAGCATAGCACTTAACTAGGTTTATCCAATTACAATAACCAGTTCACCACAAAGATGATGAGAAGCAAGCTGATTATAACTAGGATTTAGGAGAGAGAGACAGCAAGCTTATTTATCTGCTCCCATTATGTCTTTAATTTTGGCCAGAGAATGAGTTGTCAACTGCTGTTTGTGGCTTGAGTGGAGAAGCACTGTTGGCTGATCAAGGGGTCCTGGCCTGAATAGGAATAGGAACCAGAACAGTGTTTAATACGAAGCCAGAAAGTACATTTAAATTCATGTTTCCTTTAGCACTAGATGATGAAGCACAATTGTCTTATCTCCATTAAAAATCAGAGCAAACCTCTGCTTCCACTCCAACCAGTAAGAACAATATCAAGAAAAAGCAGCATGAAGAGCTAAACTGTTTCTGGGACTCTTCCCTTGGAAAGATGGGACAATGTCATTCATCTACAAAAGAAGATACTTCATCTAATAATACCTTATTCAAAAAAATATCCCCATCCCCCAGGGTCCTTCCTGTTCTGAAAGGGGTGAAGATAATGCAACGTCCGCATAAGGACGAGGACAACCATACACTCAGGATAAATTCAGACTAGGTCTACCCTGCAGATCACCAGCAGCCACAGAGTCTGTGCCTGAGGTTTGTGACAGAAAAGAACCCTTTTCTGTTAAAACAACATAAACCCCACACGATGACATCTGCTACGGAGCAAAGTGCATTTAGTCCCTGTGCCATGCAAACCTTAGCCATATCACAGTACAGACCTCCTCCTCATTTGCCTGGAATACCCCAGTCAATTACAACAATGCAAAGGACATTTCAGCCCTTCTATGAAATCATACGAAACTTGAAGCACCACTGATGTGATTTTGCTTTACTTTACTATTTTCTGAGACCACTGTTTAATAAACACTGCTTCAATAAACACTGCTTCAGGAGGCAGCCACCTGCGAAAGGTAAGGTACCATAACAGTAGTAACTATAGTTTCACTCTGCCTACAAACAGACCCATGTACCTTTTGGAGTTGACTTCAACGAGTGTAATCTAGGTCTTGGTACTGCTTTCAAAGGGACAGATCCTGAAGTACGATTCTGGCAGGATGGTTTTGAAGGCCATTCTCCATTCTTAATGATGACCGTGGCACTTGCAGCTGCAACACAGAACAAAGAATTTGGTCTAGGCAGTATCTAGGTTGAGGAAAATTAAATACTAGAACAAGCCTGTTTTACCCAAGGCTAAAGTTAGGAGAAACACACATTGGAATAAAAATCTTATGACCACCTCTGGTATCTTCAGTACAAACAGACTGTACTGATGAACTGTAACAGATCAGTCTATGACTCTTACAAACACTTCTCAGAACTAGACATACAGCTTTGAACTATGCATGAGGGGGATATACATAGAAGTATATTGATCAAGAGACATAACTAGAAGTCTGATCTTGCTGTACAAAGCAAACGCAGAACACATTTCAGTTTAAGCCAAGAAAAAGCATCATCAGTACAGAAAGACATTCTGGCCTCAGAACTGACTGTTAAAAAATAAAAACCAAATATAACGCGGACAACTCCCTCATGCAACACCTTCCCCTGTTCCTTCTTGTTTGAGCTCAGTGCACTGTTTCAATGATACGGTGCACACACCGCCAGCAGACTGCACTCCTTTCGTCCTCCTTGTGGGGCAACAGAAAACATGTGAGCCCAATTGCATTCACCAGCTCCCAAACACGTTTTAAGAAAGATTCCTGTAGTCTCTGTTCATAATAGCGACCTCCTCAGTGACAACAGACCTCAGAAGACCGCCCCCCCCGCCCCCTCCAAGAGAGAGATGAAGTCATACAGCAAAATACTCCCTGCAAAAAGGGGCAGACAGATCCAAACTGGGAAAAGCAGGACAATAAGCAATTGCTACCTCACATCAAAATCGTGTTTCCAACTAACACGCCAGTTGCCACAGAAGACGTTTTGTTCCATTTTAAAGGAACTTAAGAGAGGTTTGGGTTTAGTGTCAGAATGAAAATCTTTACTTGAAAAAAGAAAACTGAAATTTGGGGAAAGCATTGTTTTATTTTTCTGGAAAAAAATATGAAAATACTTCTGAAATAAGTATAGATGGAGTACACTTTGGTTCAGGTACTAAAAAATTATGTATACTGACACACTAAAGAGTAAGAATTTGACATTGCATTTACCAGAGACAAGCAAAAACTAAGTCACGCTGGAATAGTTTGTCACACTGTTGCTTTCTTCTCTAGTCATTTAAAGAGGAAAAAAAAGGGGGTGGAGTTCATATAGTATCAGGTTTGCCTCAGATTAGTCTTTTAATGAGGCTGATATTTTTAAAGGTAATGTGAAATACAATATCTAATATTGTTCACCGAAAGATGGAACATACAGTTTTGAGATTATTTTAATGTCTTTAAATGCACTAGTATAAGGCATGGAAGTTAACTGCTTCAAATAGATGCTTTTTGGCCACTAATCAATACATTTTCAACCATAGAAAGAGGGACAGAACTGCTTTCCCTTTTAGAAACATGCAATTGGAATCCTCCTCCTCTTTAATAAAAAAAAGAAAGTTGGAGCCTCTCTAAAGGCACAAAAGCTAAATATTTGCAAAAAATCTATACATGAGGAACAATTTGCATAACACATCAATAACACAGTTATTCGGCCGGAATCTGACCCTGATCAACATCAGATGATTCAAACCAATTTGTTTTAGTAAAGCATGAGGACTGAAGCAGTCCTTAACTTTTTCCGTAAATCACTAAATTAAGGATTTTTGCTCAGAGTTCACTGCAAGCAGCTAACAACTGCCTACAAACAGCTGTACTACTTTCTTCTAAATCAGAAGCATGCCATGGAACTAACACTTTAGGTAAGCGAGCACACTTCTGGTGTGGAACTAGTTAGGGCACTGTTTTGTCCTATTAGAAGCTCTGGAGTCAGCTAACCAGGCTGTGTGCAGAAAAAAAGGCAAATTTGCAAAGTTTGGTCACTATACGATTCAAATATTCATTAAGAATATTGCAGAATTAAGAGCAGCTACTGCAATCCTGATGAAAGATGGACAGGTATGAAGTGATCTCACCCGAGCTAAGATCTAAAGGGTTTAAAAACTCAACTCATTAAAAGAATTTTAGTGAAGTATTGACTGTACGGAAATGCAGCTCCAGGTCAATTGCTAGGATCAGCTTTTTAACTTCTGAAACACTGTTTCCTTTACATTCAATTATTCTAATGCAATTCTTATTTGGATTCTTGTACTTAATCTCAGAGTTTAAACATTTCAGTTTGTTCAAATGATAGTATTTTCAGCTCAGTACTGAAATTGGGAAGATTTCCCTAATGTTAAAAATTCAATTTTTCAGTGCTCAAACTGACAGCTTGCATGCAAAATATGCTTTCATTAACAACAGCATTTCAAACTTCATGATTTCCAAACTTTTCAAATGGTAAGTCTTTTTAGAGAAAAGCATCATAAAACTGAAGTGCTCATTAGACAAAAAAAACCCTAATTTTGCCACAGGAAGTTACCAATCCAAGGACATCCATAACAAAGGGCTGAGCTGACACAGTAGGAGAAACGCTCTCTTTTGTAATTTTTTTTTCTCCCCTAACAGAAGGCAAACTCCTTAAACAAAACAAGCCAAGCGACTTTGTTAATTTAATACTGTTGACAGGACCACAATAGTTTATCATAAATTTCTTGACATTCACAGCATAAGCCTCCCATTCTGGCCTTTGTGTGTCCAACCAATCTAATAAAAACATTTCAGGTTTACAAATAGAGATTCCCAACATTACTATATAGTAGACGAAATGAGAGAACAAAAAACAAGAACAGCACTGTACTTAATATTAGAGTACAAAGTAAATTCATTAGTTCTTTCCAATTTGATTCAAAGTCTTAAAAACTTCACTAACACATGAATTATATGTAACCTAAACTCATTATACTCACAAAACCTGACCACAAGACATAAATCATTCTCATCAAGTGCAGGAAATAAACTGAAGAAAAACATCATCTCACAGAAAATCAGCAAGTCAAAACATTGCATACATTTACCAACCTCCACACAACAAAATACATGCTTTAAAAAAAGAAATAAAAAGGAATATAACCTACTTCTTTTCCCAGTAAACGTGGCTAACAAAGGAATAATACAAAAGCTGTAAGAGCCCACTACCAGCAATGTCAGTAAGGTAATATCATAGTGGATTCCTGAGTCAGTCGGTGGCATTAGCGTAGAATTGATGAAAACAGGAGAAAAATTAGTTTCTGTGCAACTGCGGAGTCCTCCTGGTATAGTCATTTAAAAAGGATCAAAGCAAGCTTAAAGCCAAAAGAGACTGCAGCCATGTTCAACCTCTCATATTGCTTTTGCTTGCTCTTCGTGAATCAGAGTGGAAAAAATTGTAAGCTTGAAGGCAGTGGACAAAACAGATTAAACCAACTAGCAAATCAGGCTAAATAAGGAGTCATCTGTTTGGATACTTAATCTGAATACTCTTCTTTGTTATGAAGCGATGACCCTTTCCTTTGTTACATGAGGGAGCAAAATGAAGAGAGGACAAAGCTGCTTAGGAATTCCAGATACAGTCCTAAACCTGAACAGCAAAAGTCAACATGGCTGTCACAGTAACCGAACTGATCTGACAACACAGGAACATGCACTGCATATTTTATTACACATACTCTTATTCCTTTGAGGAATATGTTAGGTCTTAGTTTTTTAATGAAGGCACTACAGGGGGGAAAAAAAAAGAACAAGAGAAAATTTAGTTATATATGTGCGTATGCATATGCGCATACATAAACTACAGACGTATGTTAAATCACAGTTCTCTTTTTCAGTCCATTGAAGACAGATTCAAATGACATCTGACACAAAGGAGAGGCCTTTGCCCAGTCTCCAAGATGTAACAGATGATGTGATAGTAAGAGAATATTTGAATGTACTCATTTGAATACATGTAGCTGGGAATACTGATATGTCTGACAGTACTTATGTGTTATTTCCTTCATATTTTTGCCGCTAGAACTCCTACAACTGCTGGTACAGACCCTTTGTAGAGCTTCAAATCAAAGCTAGTTCTGTTATTTTTCTCCCTACTTTTAATCAAGATGGATTTGGTTCAGGTCATACACCAATGCTTATATTTACCTGTCCTGGTTGCGGCTGGGATAGGGTTAAATTTCTTCCTAGTGCTGTGTTTTGGATTTAGTATGAGGAGAATGTTGGTAATACACTGATGTTTTCAGTTATTGCTAAGTGTCCTCCTAGTCCAAGGACAGCTCCCATGCCTACTGACTGAGCTAGGTACACAAGATGGGAGGGAACATAATCAGGACAGCCAGCCCAGCTGGCCAATGGGGTATTCCATACCATGCTCAGTATATGAATGGTAGGTGTGATCCAGGAAGTACTGATCGCTACTTGGTTATCGGTCAGCGCGGGTGGTGAGCAATTGCATTGTGCATCACTCATTTTGTATATTCTATCATTATCGTTATTACTTTCCCTTTTCTGTTCTATTAAACTGTCTTTTTCTCAACCCATGAGTTTTTCTCACTCTTACCCTTCTGATTCTCTCCCCGTCCCACCGGCGGGGGGAGTGAGTGAGCGGCTGCGTTGTATTTGGCTGCCTCCCAGGTTAAACCACAACATTACCTTAGAAATTATAGAAGTCTACCCATGCAAAGTTTTACCTTCTAGAGCAGTTTCACTTACCTGCTTTTGATCTCATCTACACATTTTGTCTTAAAACTCTGAAAGTAGATAATCGAGTTCAAAAGGAGCATTTAGTATCAAAAACCTGTAACGTGCTGTTACAAATATTATGACAGGTAACCCATTCGCACCATTCAGACTTCTTTCTTATTACATTATATATAAACACAAGAAAACTTTTGCTCAAGAAGACCCACTGGTTTTGTAATGTTTCAAGACAGAAAAGGAGCTGTACTGAAACATCCACTCATCAAACCAAAATCCAGGGCTTACAGCTCCTTCAGGTAGCAACTCTCAAGAAGGAAAGTCGAAAGTTAAGAGGCAAAAAGATTAAGACCTAGAACTAATAATAAGTAGTACAATGAGAATTAACACAGGCCTTTGTCAGACAGGACTCCCTTCAAGGGGATTTTTCCAACAAGCAGTTGATGCTGGCTATCAGTTAAAACCCATAATCCTGACGGATACTTACAATTACTGCTGAAAAGACTTCGCTCACTCTGAGTGCTGCTGACTGATGAGATGCTAGGTGTTCTCTCAAGCACTGATCTTTTGACAGGCACTTCGGATTTGGCGAGCAGTTTACCGGAGCTAGCCCATGAGGCTGGAGAATTTTTGACGGAGGCATGCTTCTCTCTTGGCGAAGATCCTATACCTGTCAATTGGGGGGAAGAGGGAGGGAGAGAAAAGAACAAAAGGAGTTGGAAAGAAGCTTAAACAATAGCTGCTTCTATGTATATGCCTACAAGTAAAAAGATTTACACATTAAAAATACATATAAAAAGGCTTAATCTACCTCATATTGACATGGTAAAAAATGTCGTAAATGCAGAAAAACAGTTCCAAGAATTTAAAGGATCCCGTTTTACCCGCATATTGACTTCAGGAGCAAGTCAAGAGCTTTACAGACTGGCCTTCAAGGCAGACATTTGCATGCACAAAAAGTCTTTCTGGCATTCTCCTACCTCTGTGTATTATGGTTAGCTGTACTGGCAACCCCATAAAAATATAACCTCCAGCTCAAAGACAATCCAAGAAAGATTATTTTGTTTGTTCTGGCCCCCAAAACAGAGATCTCCCCCCCCGGCATTTGACAAAGTACTCTAAAAGATCATACCCTTTCAAGGACAAACACAGCACAAGAGTATCAAATTGTGTTGTACTCACATAATATACTGAAAACTGACTAGTTCTGCAGAACTAGTTAAACAGCACTCCCCGGAACCAAGTTCTTGATGGCCAACTGGTGCAGGCACATTTTGCATTAAGTGCTGTTTTCATTTGAGCTTGCTGAATACAAATGCCCAATAGCTAAGTTAATCAAACAGGAAGAGTATCTATATAGGAGACAGGTGTGCCATCTTCAGATAGGAGCTTACTCTTGTACTACTAACAAAGTAACTACACTTTCTGCAAGAAAATTTGAGTTCAGTTAAATTAAGCTTTTAGTTTATTTCTGAAAAGCGTGCACCCAGATGAAAACTACAATGGCCCAAAGGAAGTTATGTACACACAGACTTGTCTTTCCAGCACTGAGTTGACTCTTGTCAAGTCCTCTGAATAACTATGGAAAAGAGGTTTTTATTTTTGTACAAAAACAAAAATAGAGATACGGAAGTTAGACTTACGGTTTTTTTAAAAAAATATTTTGTTATTTATGATAAAAAAGGATATTTTACAAAGTATCTTAAACTCTGATGTTTGCTGTTTTCAAGTCTGACAGACATAGTTTATCTTACTTGAAAAGAGATGACTACAGTGCTTCAGATTTGACTTAGATCAATCAAGTTTCTACTTAAAGTGAATACCCTTCCCTTTATTCTTGTATAAACCACAGTTCAGTTTTGCTTAAGCTATGTAAGATACTGTTGAAATATGACAAAATTAGCTAGTAATTCCACTTTATTCAACATCAGTTTTGCTGCAGGATCTCCACTCTTAAATACTAATGACGAAGAAACCATCGATTTGCACTAAGACCAAGAAAGCATGACATTAGGGCAATTTACATTAAAATTTAGGCAAGAAAAACACTTACGCCCAATGTCTGCTTTTCAACAGTAGGTGGTGTGACAGGATTAGATAATGTGTCTCAAAACATCCTACATTAAGTATGCAAAGACAGGAACAGCACTAGTAAAGGAAGGTATGTCCAAGCTATTTCCCTCAGTTCAGATCAAATCAGTAACAAAAGAGAAACCCTACATGCAACATATACTAAACGTGCATTAGGATATTATATAATACTGGTCACTGAATATAACACACAAGTTTCAGTGAGTCATTAAACATGCTTTATGTCAGACCTCTCTTTGGAGGTGCACTTTTACTACTTGTTTGGCATTACTATGCAGAATTGTGATTCTGTATACGGCTTTACTGCAGCCTGGTATCAAATCTCCGAGACAAAATTATCAGCCATATTTTAGAAATTTTTTTAAGTTACTACAACGGACGCTTGAATATACCCAACTCACTAAAAAGCATCAAACCTTTGTTGTGCTATGAGAACACCACAAACCACAAACTGACAGTTATTGAAAACCTCTGAAACACAGCACTCCAGACAACATATCTGAAATCATTTGTGTGTTTGAAAAAAAAATTTCTGACACATCTAAACTTCATACAACAAACCTGACAGCTTTCTAAAACTTTCCACATTGTTTTCTAAAAGCTTGTTTCATTAATGGATCAACATACCAGAAAAGTAATTAATCCAGACCAGTCAGAAATTCCTTTTTTTACACAGCTGCTCAGCAAAACAAGGTGCAAAAAACCAAACACACTCCCCCCACACACCCAAATAAACAAACAGGCCACTATACAAACACTGCATGTTAAATTTGTAAGACTTAGTTAAAGCTTTACATTTCAAAAGCAGCCAGAGGAACAAATGCAGTTTATCAGCTGCATTTTATTGTTAAAAGATGAGGGTAGCATGCTTGATTGCTATTGTGCTGGACTCATTCATCCAGTTCAAAAGGTATAGGAACAAAATCCATTTTTCTTCACAGGGGTTTTCTCCCAAGAGGGGTTGAAGCAAACATGTGAAAATGCTCGGTCTCTTCTTGAACAGAATGTTCTCTATACATGATTTGCAGCCAGCCCAGCTTCTCTGCAGACACTGGAATGTGGCAGTGCTCTAAACCAGCTGTGAACTCAAACCCATTCAGCGAGCACAGCAAGCTCTAGGATGTCCAGTTTCAGAAGCACGTCAAACAGATGACCTTTGCTCTTTTCTTAGTTCTTCTACTGCTTGGTGCTTTCCTATAAAGGCTTCCATTAAAATAATTACTCAAGCACTCAAACACATTTTTTCAAAAGCCCAGCTCGAGGGAGAATTTCTTTTAAGTCATGACACAAGATCATTAAGCAACTACTCTAGGTGTTACCTCAACTAACAACAACGGTTTTACAAAATATTTTTATAAGTACCATTCCCTAAGAAAGGAGTAGCACAAATTAAATGCAAAGGTTTTGAAGACAGAAGCAGGAAGATATGGTATATAAACAAAAGTACTGGAAACAAGCACAAAAGCAGGATATTTAGTGAACCATTATTATAAAGACAACAAGCAATAGCGTCAAAGTAACAGGCTTTCATCAGTTATTTAATCTAGTCACTGAAGTGGAATACTAGAAATATCACATTCCTCTACAGTGAAGTAATGAGTTGGCAATTCTTTAGAAAAAAGTCTATGCAACAACTACTTCAAGTATGTTAAAGTATCTCTTGTATTGGAGTGGAAATAAGCAAGGAACAAAGCTCATTTTTCAAGAAGCTCCGAAGTCAGATTTCATATCCTTACTCAAATAATCATCCTCTCATATGAATCCCTCAATGGTGGTTATTGTTGGGATTAAATTAAGGCTTCCTTTAAATAGCACTGGAGCCTAAAAGATTCAAATTGAGAGAATAAACATATGCCAGTAGTGGTGAACTCGGGACTTTGACGACACCAGGCGATTGTAAAGTTGAATATGTATTTACCAATTCTGAGATTCAATGTCCACCGTTTCAAACCATGTTGACACATTTCACATCTAGAACTGAGCACAGAGCAACTGGCATTTACAGAGCTATATAACACCTGGAAATGAATGGTTGGAAGCCTTTCCCAAACAGAAACTTAGGGCAAACTAAGTTCAAAAGGAAGGATGCTTTTTGTTGTTGCTGTTTTTTTTTTTTAACCCTAAAGCTAACAAGTAATAGTTCATTGGGCCTTTCATTGCCTTCTCTCTTGAATATGTTGAATTTGGGATTTTTGTTTCATGCTTTTCTGATTTTTCCTACCAGTTTAAAAATCCAGAGGGCTTTATTTTAGAAGTGCTAAACTTCTTAGCCTTTAAAAAAATAATTTTAAGCATGATGAAAAAGCCCAGTCTGAGCCTACAGTACAAGGTCTTTATAAAGCAAGGGGAGCAAACCTTCAGGAAAACATGTTAATTTTTGGTATCTATTGAAAGGAGCAAGTAAATCATGGAAAGACAAACTGGACTTGGTTATTGTTTCCAGCAGACAGATCTTAACATAGTTGTAAGAGCGTTTATGGTTGCTATTTTGAGCACTGTAAAGGAGTAGCAGTACTAACAGATTTCTGATGGCTGCACCCTCCTCAGGTTGCCTCATTAGCCATTCAGCAATATTAGTTACACTATATTATACTATACATATATCAGTATTCCTTCGAGAGCATAAAGAGTGGTTACAGCACATTCCATAATTCTACCAAAGATGTACAGGTAATCTCTTTCTAGTTATCTCTCCCTTTTAAAGTCTCAGATCGCTAGCAAAATTACCAAAGAAAAGGCAGGACACAGTTACATTATGTTGCTAGTAATGCCTCAACTACTAAACATAAACATGGACAAAGACAGGGAATGTTAACTTACTGCTGGGTGTTGAAATATTTACATGAGAGAGATTTATTTGTTTAGGGGATAACAGCTGATCAGAGAACAGTTTACATATTGAGGCAAGACCCAATGCCCCATCTGACGTAGACTCCCACAGTATTGTTCCCATTCACCTACAATCCTTAGGAAAGTGCTCCTCCTTGGCACAGGTATCAAGGAACCAGCAGCAAGTAAGTGCCAAAAACATAACCGGGCTGCCAGCAGCCATGTGGGCAGGTATTCATGTGTTCCTCCTCTTGCAGCTCAATATTCTCAGACTAAAACTGGAAAACTGATCTTCAGTGCTATGGAGCATTATATTAGCAGTTAATAACAACCAAATCAACCCTTTTCATTCTCTCAAACGCTTCCACTGTCAAAAGAGCGATTGGGGTGTTTTCAATTAGGGGGAGAGAGAGAGAGTAACATTCATGTATGTCTGCTGTTAAATTTTACTTTCTTCCCTTCCTGTTTGGCCCAGTTACGAAATCTGGCAGTCTTCCTCCCAGTTAAACCCTTCCACAATCAGAGAGACTCCTCCCTTCCCCATCTTTCCTCAGGCTCAACTCCTTGCATGTGATCTCTCCAGCACCTAGAAATGGCCCTTCTCCTCCCCGGCCTCAATTCCCAACTCACACCTGCTCTCCCACTTCCAGTACTGTCTGCCATCATGCTGCCTGCTGGATTTACTCAATTTTAGGTTTTTCATTTTGTAGGCTTAACTAGAGCAACCCCATGAGAGACGACGTCTACAGA